TCTCCCAGCATGCTCTGCTCCAAGAGGCATACACTCAATTCGCTAACCAGCTGGACTTGAAGCATTGTTTTTACTAAGAGTTGAAGGGCACACAGTGACTATGCCAACTTGTCCCTGAGAGCACTGTATCCTCAGACAGTCATGGGTAGACAGAGTCACCATATCCTTCTGTACAGGGCAGGAATTTAACTAGCTAATCCACAAGTTTCTCTGAACCACCATCAGCAACAAGACAATAATAATAGCTGGTATTTATTGAGGGCTTTCTGCTCTTTCCACAAATTAATTTAAGCCTTTGTTCCATAGGAAGCAAGGAATGCTTTTATCCTCTGACAGATGAGGCAACTGAGGAGCAAGACCATGCTCAAGGTCACAGGATAGAGAGGTAGTGCCTGAGATCTGAACTCAGGCTGCCTGGCTCCGGGGCCCCCAGTCCTAAGCTATACATCCTGGCAGCAGCAGATGTGTGCTCTTAGGAGCACAGTCTTACCCATCCTGCTCACTGCTGTACCCTGGCACCCAGCATGGTGCCCCGAGCTTGGCAGTTGGTTGCTATGTGAGATGCATACCTTAGCCACCCCAAAGATTGCTCCAAATTACAACTCTGAGCTGCCTGACAACGCTCCAAGATGAATGGCTTCAGAGCCCTTGTTTTTCCTGACACCGTAGCCTCCCACCTCCAGTCCTGGATCTTACCACAGAGACAGCACTAGTTGCATCCAAGAATAAAATCTGTTATATAACCCACGGCAGACATGGGGGTGAGTGCAGTTGCACTCGGTCACTCGTGGTCCCCAAGGATGGCTTGCAGGAAGAACTTTCGTCTCCCCTGAGCCTACCTCGGCACACAAACTTTCCTGCATCTCCTCTTTGTGCTGCCTTCTTAGAGTTTATTTTATTTTGGTCGTGCACATTATTTGAAGTTACTATAGCAACGTGTCACAGGCTGGTATCACTTAGTAATGCTGGTATTTAGGTACCAGGCTCTCTAAGTCGTCCGTTTCCCTCCCTCTCTCAGGTGAGCAGGGGACGCCTCAGCAGAGCCAGTCCCCTTGTCTCTCTCCGCAGCAAGGGACTGTCCCCTCCTAGGTCCACAAAGTACTGCAGGAGTGAGTCCCGAGTGTGTGTGTAAGTGCGTCTGCATTCGAGGTTGTTCAGTAGATATCGTTAAGCTGAATTTTGTGTATCCAAAGTATTGGCATTATCAATATGACAAAACTGTCTTTTTAATGCGAAGGGTGAATGCAATGATTTGGAGGGCTGCCATCTAGAAGGAGCTGACCACCTCAGATCCTGGCTAATTCATGCTGCTCACACCACACAGGGTTTCTCTTGTTCTCTCTTGCAATCACACAGTAAAGAGCCCCTGACTATTTTCCCGTAGAGTTTCAGCTCTCTCCCAGGTGGGCAAGACCTCCCTCCGTAGTGATGAAAGCTGAATTAATTAAAAGAATTGATTGCCTTGAGTCAGGTTGCTGAAGAGAGTTCTCTATGGCAAATACATCCTGCCACACATGGAGTTAAGTGGCCCCTCATCAGCCAAGTGCTGGGATGATCGCACTTATTTTTACACATTTGACCCAGTTTCCCTCCGTGTACCTCATTAGCCACATTTTAAACTACCCGATCGGCACGAGGTGACTCTGGCTTGTGCCAGACTCTCAGATTCAATTTCTCCCTGGAATTTAATATGCGAGTCCCACTGGCATTCTGTTTTACGAAGCAATTTCCTATCCAGGCACCGGGTGTGCTGCTTGGGTATGGATGAGTGGCTGCCTCATGCCTCCGTAGTAAATGTACGTCAACTACAGAATTTCTGCCAGGGATAGGAAGAAGGGGGTTCTCCTTAGCCTGAGCTAAGGGGATCCCCCAACCCCCAGTCTCCATGCAGTATTCAAGCTTTTCTGGGTTACTGAGGGGGTCTTGGAGTTTGAGCTCCTGTGCTGTAAAGTTTGAGCAATGTCAGTGTGAGGGCTGGCTCAGTTGCTAGGGCAAATGCTGTGTGCCCATGACCCCTGCCCCCAACTCCTTCTAAAAATTGAAGACAATAGTGGATGGTCTTAAAGTTAGGAAAAGGGAAAGGGGCAAGACACAATTGCCATTTTGCAGATGCTATGGAGAAAGGAATACGGTCAGAGAAGTGAGACGTTACTCCATCATTCTAACATTCTGTGACAAAGCATGTGCTTTCTTTTTAATTCAAATGACAGCCTTTCCTAAATACAAACCTGCCGGTGGTGCCTGGCTCCGTTTCAGTATCCATCGGTCACATCTCTGTGATTTCCCGAGGATGTGATAGCATAGTGGGTTAGCGCTGCAGCGGAAAGGCAGGCTGCTTCCAAGTGGGGAGTAAAGCACCCTGAATTCCCCGTGAACAGCCAAATGCAGGTAACTTGTCCAAACTTCCCTCCCACAGCACTATAAACCTTACCAAAAGGCACCCAGCTGGGATTTTCTGTGTGGTAATGAGAACAAAGAAATTCCCAAGCCAGTAAAAGTAATTTTGATTGATCTGTGAACTCTAACACACTGACTGACTCCCGATAAAATGATAATGGTTTCTCTTATGAAGTGGCCAGTCTGTCTAAGGGGGACTGGAATCCCCCTCCTTGGTTTTTTTTTTTTTTTTTTTTAATTCTTTGAAAATGAGGCAAAGAAGTTTCCTTCAACAAGGCTCAAGAGAACACAGTCTTTGCAAGCTAATACCAGGCAACCTGAGCTAGGAGGGTTGTTTTTTCTTTGCATTTCTCTCCCTTCAAATTCAAATCGAGCCCTTGAAAATAGCAAGCATTGCATCTGTGCATTTGGGGCTGCCTGCCTTCTGACAATGGTGGATTTTTTTGTATCACACACCACCTCCCACCCCGATACCATCTCACGATCCAGGCACTCATTTAGGTCAAGCTTTAAAAGTAAAGTGTTGTCCAAGATGACAGCATTTTCTCTTAGATCGTCCATCACGAAAAATAAAACCTCACATTTCTTACCTGAAACAGAGGAATTACCTGCAGACACTGCTTCACTCTTCCTTGTACAATGAGCCAGGCTTTGACCAGCAGCAGAATAACTCCAAAAGAAGGAAAAAGAAGCCCTTTCTGCTGTCATTTGCACTGTTTATATGCAAGAAGTGTAGTGGGTCTGCTCACGTAGGAATAAATAAAAACCCAAACCAGCTGCACAGTAGCTAGTGTGTGAAAAGGAAAGACCTCTAGTGGCCACAGGCTGAATTCTTTGAGGAAGGGAGCCAGCCAGGGAAGTCGCAGAGGAAACACGCTCACCTCTGCAGCCCTCCAAACTCCAGGATTTCTCTTTTCTTGCCTTCAGCCTGGCCAGAGGTATAAGGAGGAGCCAAGGTCACTTCTTGGTTTAAGTGGGATCTGGTAAGTAAGTGGGAATGGTGGTGTTCACTGCTTTGAAAGGGGTGAGTTTCACAGACTCACCAACTCCCCCTGGAGGCCTGAGAGGACAGGATTTTACAGTGGTTCATCAAGAGGTGCCACCCCTTTAAGGTTGTCCACAGGTCTCAAGTGCACAGGGTCAAGGCCAGTACTCCTGAGAGGCCAGGCTTTGTGGTCTCTCAGCTTTGCATGCTTTCTAAGCATTTATGGTGTGTGACTGTGGAAGTGGTCATTGGTTCAGCAGGGCCAGTTCCTGTGCATACGACCTGCTTGATCATAGAGTCTCTTCCTTTAAAAGGCCACCTGGTTGTTCTGAAGTTCTCGGTAATTTTACATAGAGCCCTGCAAGCAGACGAGAACCCCCCCACCACTCCAGGATCTACACAGGGGAATGACAGCCTGAAAAATGCACAGTTATGGGCGCCAGTGGCTCACGCCTATAATCCTAGCTACTCAGGAGGCAGAGATCAGGAGGATCATGGTTTGAAGTCAGCCCAGGCAAATAGTTCTGTGAGACCCTGTCTCGAAAACCCTTCACAAAAATAGAGCTGGTGGAGTGGCTCAAGGTGAAGGCCCTGAGTTCAAGCCCCAGGACAGCAAAAAAAAAGAAAGAAAGAAAGAAAAGAAAAAGAAAAAGGCCCAGTTACCCAAAAGGCAGGAGGAATGCAGAGAGTACTTCCTGGGGTCATGGAGGAAGACATTCCTCGCCACTGGGATGGAACTGTAGCCTTGTACTCTGCCAGATATATACATTTTAATATTGTTATTCTTTTAATAAACAAAGACGGCAGTTTTTAATACCAAACTGATTTTTTTTTTTTTTTTGGTTCAGACATAAAACTTGTAAGACCTCCTTTAGCAGCAAGGGTTCCTGGAGATGCCTGCGCTGTGCCAGCCAGGCCATGTATGCAATTCCGCCCCCCGGTTGGGCTACAGTGGCACCTCTGTGGGTCAAGATGGTAGCCCCAGGGAAATCTTGCTGGAGATGGTCCAGATGGCATCACCCCCATGTTGCCCTAGTAGCCAGTGCTTCCTCTACCAGGTTCTAGAATAGATCTCCTGGCATGCTGTGCAGATGCCAACACAAGTAGAAAACATAGCCTGAAAATGACCCTCACTGGCAGGGAGGGAGAAAGCAGGAGAGGTTAAGCAGATGGTTTCTGGTGGACGGAATGGAAGGGTGAGGTCCTGCTTCTCCACTCCCAGGGGTCCTTCCAGAGCCACCTCCTCTCCAGGTCTCCTCTTGTCTGAATGCTTCTGGCTCTTAGTCTGCTTTACACACCCAGGGATTTGTGCTTTCCCAGAATCTGATCCCACCTCAGAGACCCCCAACACCCATGCACAGCTCTTTTTCCAGTGTCTAAGCAGCAGGAGAGGCGATGGACTGGTGTTAGTTTTGTCTGGCACTCAACAGGTGTTCAGTGAATGCTTTCGGACTGAACACCTCACAGGGAAGTTTCTCGTGCTGCTGTGGTGAGCAGAGGTTCTCGTTCCTGGACAAGCTGAGATGCTTGCATGTTTTCCAATTTGAAATCAAGGACACAGAGAGGATATATGTCATGGTCCTTTCCACATGAGCTCATGGTACTTTCTTTCTTGCAGAGTCACTTTGTGGCATGTATGACGGCCATCTTGGACCAGATGGGTGACCAACACTACTCCTTCTATATTGAGACCTTCCAGACCAGCTCAGACCTTGTGGTGGGTAAGGGGTGTGGGTGGAGGGGAGGGGGCATGGCATCTCGTTATCTTGGTTCTGTTGAGTTGAGGACAAGGTCTCCCCATGGATGCATATGTGTGCGTGGGGATGTTGTCAACGTGCAACTCTGGTTCTCCATTCTTGTATTGCCCACTCTGGAACATGTCTTCAGTCTGTGTCACAGCCCAGACCTGATGTCTGTTGTATAATCTAGTTACGTCTTAACAAGTAGCTGCTGATGAATCGTGGTCAATTTGGGCTTCAGAGCATGAGTGTTGTACTCAAGTATTAAGCTTGAATCCTGGATTTGTCACTGGCCAGATGTGTGACCACAGGCAAACTAAATTCTTGTGCTGCTTTGTTTTCCCATCTGTAAACTGGGGATGATATGCATGTCCCAGGGCTGTGGAGGGGTTTTATGAGAGCACAGTAGTGCTCATATGGTAATCACCCGGGGAAAGACAGTTATCACCAAATTGTGACAAACACTCAGAATGTTAGCTCCTGAGACCACAGCTTCCAGCCTATAGGACATCTGCCTGGTGCTCTTGTTTCACAACCGATTAATTCACCAGCACACAGACAGCCCAACCTACTCCTCTGGGGGCCATGGCACAGTACCCTTTGCACTTGGCATGGTCACCTTTGTCCCTGTCCCTGCTGCTGGGGGCTCCATCTTAGCTCTCCCTAGAGGGAGGCAGGGCAGCAGCACTGGACCCCAAGGAGGTTGTCACTAGGAAGCCACTGCTCATCAACGAGCCCCACTCCTCTTTGCTGTAGGATTGGCAAGAACAGAACTAGTGGAGCCCCTTTCTGGATATTCAAAAACCAAAATGAAATGAGGGTAAAGTTTCTCCCCCTTCAGGTTTCCCGCCATCAAGCTGTCTGTATCTGAGAACATGGAAATAGAGGGATGAGGTTCATAATCCTTTATGGAAGGATTCCTTTGATCCTTTATGGAAGGCAGGGTTTCTGGTAAAGGAAGAGGGGTTTGTGTACACTTTCTTAGGGAAGCCTTGGAAGAGCAACACAGGCATCACATTTTTTAAGTGTACGATCTGTTTGCTCAGGCTCCATAGCTAGTATACAGCGAGGTAGGACTTGAACCTTGGCTCTAACTCTTACCCTACGATGAACCTTCTAATTTGGAAGCCATCCATGAGGCAGAGCCTCTCCAGACCCCATAGGAAGGAGTCTGCCTGTGGTGAGAGCCACACTTCTCCAGGCGACATGTGGATAGGTAAGGATGCACCGTCACCTAGCCAAGCATTAATGGAAATTTGCGAGGCTCCAGGCTCTGTGCTAGGCAGCAGCACTTGGGGGACCCTGTGAGGAAGGTGTTGTCCTTATGCTGACGGGAAAGTGTTCTTAGTCTCACTGTCCTCAACCAAACACTCACGCATAACACACACGCACGCACACGCACGCACGCACACATGTATACCACACGTACACACAAAAACCCCACACAGCACACCCACATACACACACACAACCACACACATCACGCAATGCACACACGTGCACACACAGAGCCAATCTGCTTTTTATCGAACCTTGGGTTTCAGGTGAGATTACTTTGGACAGAGACTCCGCAGTTCAAATGACTGGAAAGCCACTGCTTACAGAGAGAATTCCTGGGGCCTCACTGGATTTCAAACCTTGCCCAGAGCGTCCATGTGGCATGGCGCCCCTGCTTCTGCTCAGGAGGGTCTCTGTGCTAGGATCCTGTCTTTACTGACTGGGTTTGTTTTCATTTGTCCTCTGCAGTGATGGACTAAGCTTGGCCCACTGCACACTCTGATGGAGTGCACTTATGTACACTTTGGGCCTCGGCAAAGGCGAGGGGGAGCCCTCAGGACTGTCCTTCCCCTAACCTGTGTGTGTGAAGAGTCAGCTGTGTTTACTGCACTGCTAATTAGAAGTTCATTTAAATGATGGTTTGTTTGCTCAGTGACCTGAGATGTTGTCCTATAGCGTTGATCATTTTCTTCTCAAATACACATTTGGGGGGGTGATTATAAAATCGCCACATCAACAAATGCATTTACTTCTTTATTCTCAAAGGCGCCTTGAGAGCGTCTGCCCGGTCCATATCCACAGTCATATCCACAGTTCACTGGCAGCAAATTCACTGGAATGACTTCCATGGAATTACTTAGTGAGAACCCAGGCCCCTGTCCCCTGTCCCTTTAAAAAGAAAGAAGGAAGCATTTCTAAACTGACAAGATCAGGGCGCTGGCAGGCAGTTCCCACGGCACAAGGTGATAGGCGTCTTTTGCTATTGCAGGACTTCTTGATGGAGACTTTCATCATGTTTAAAGACCTCATCGGGAAGAACGTGTACCCTGGGGACTGGATAGCGATGAGTATGGTCCAGAACAGGTGAGTGGTCACGCACTTCCAAAAGTCACTGCCACAGGAACAAGGTGGTGTTTACAAACCCTTTCTACAGGTAAGCCCAGGGAAAAACTCATTCCAATCTTGAAGGGACTCAAAGTCTCCCTACCCTGTGCTTTCTTCAAGTCCCAGATAAAACATCACACTTTGGGGGACTGGGGATATGGCTCAAGTGCTCAAGTACCTGTCTAGCAAGTATGAAGCCCCAACTTCAAACCTCTGACCCCACCCAAAAAAAAATTAATTAATTTTTAAGAATCAGATTTTGGGAAGCCTTTCCTAAACTCTCAAGATGGGAGTGCTTAGGACAACATTTAACTAAATGTTTAATGCATATTCTATGTCACATGATTAAAAATGTTGAGAAAACCCCGCCTTGGGACATCCGTGCTCAGGTTTCCATGCAGCAGGACTGCTCAGAGATTTTAATAAGTAATTGCAATGCATTTTGCAGATGACTCTGCCTTTCAGATCGCTTGGTGAGCGGTTGGCGCATCTGTGTGCAGACATAATGGCTACTGACATCTCATAGAACATCAGTGAAACCCAGGGATAATCCCGACTCCATGTAGACATGAGACAGAAGTGCTGATAAACAATTTAAGTCTTACTGCCCCATCTCTGACAGCATTTCACCAAGTAAAATCCACACCACAGCCCTCGGTGGTATTCTCTGAGATTCCTTTTCTCTATTACTCTGGTTCCCAGTGTCTCGCTCATGCCCTGACTCTCCCAGTCTCAGGTCCTAACCAGGACTGCCTTTCACCAGGGCCTCTGGGCCTCTCTCTTCCTCTCTCTCTCCCCTTCCTTTGGCTTCTCATGTTTGTTTTAGGTCCTTTCCATGGAAATCTTCACCTCACACAGATGTCTACTTTTGTCTCTATACCTATTGCCTTTGTTCTACATCACAAAAGCCAAGACTGGCTGGCAAAGACAGAAATACCCTTTCAGGATGGAAGAAGTGGGGAGAGGAACAGGCAGAATTCTCTTTAGTGGCAGGGCAGAGGGAAAACTACACACACTTGTGTATTGATGATTATGTCATGAATACAGTCTGAGAATTCCTCTTCTGTAGGCCTCAGGGCTCATTCCATCCTCACTGACCTCTGTCACTGACCTGTCAGTCATCTGATGCGCTCTGGAAGCCAGCCAGCCCAGCAGGTGACGTCTTAGACACTCTGACCAGCAGTGCTCTTGGGCCTGCTTTAGGGACTGGATGAGGGGTGGAGAGGTCATGAGGCAGAAGGAGGCCTCTGTCTGTGCATCTCTGCTTATGGTGGGAAGAGGAGGAGAAGCCCCAGGACTCTGTCAGAGCAAATCCTCGGCCTGGGCTCGCCCTGCCTAACTCTCCTGCAGCATCAGCCAGGCGGGAGGCTGACTTTTGCAATGATTGTCATGCTGGTGGGAATGAGGCCATGGCGTGGGTCACAGGCAGGCCCCTCCCTGACCCTTATGTCTGGGCCTGAGCCCTGTACAGGTGCATGGAACCCCACACTCTCAAGAGCCCCACGCTTGGTTTAAGGCACTGGTGCCATCTCATAGGTCTTAATAATTTGGGTCAACGGAATTCATATTAGCAAGGAGCCCACAAACTTACGTCACCGGTCAGTTACCTCCTTCCCTGCACATGGGCCCTTCCCTGTCACCAGCTGGTGGATGATGTCTTTGGTTCTGCCAAGTGACACAAAGCACCCAGGAGGTGTAGCTATGGTCATTGTCTTCGTGCCCTGTATTTGAGGTACACCACCTGTCCTCTGTCACCTGCTCTTCCATCCTTCTGTGACTCTGCATAACCACAGCTCTGCCTGGGGGCCTTGCCTCCTCCTAGACTGGATACCCGTGGCAGTGCCCTGTGAAAGCTGGGCTGTGTGATCCTTACTTGGGGATCCTTCTAGGGCTCCCCATGGCAAGAGAATCTGTTCCCTCCTCTGGGTTTGCATGTGTGCTGATGAGAGCACTGACACCACTGCCTTGGTTGTTTCTCCATGACTATCCCCACTAGAGAGTGGGGTTTGTGAGGGGAAGCTCTCTGTCCAATTTATGTCTGTGTTTGTAGCTGCTGGTACAGACTGTGACGTTCAGAAATATGTGCAGTGAACTCTGTGTATCTAAAAGGGAGCTTTTGACTGAGATTTTTAAATAATTCAAAGTTGCCTAAGTAGAAAGAATTTATTGCTTCAAATTACTGGAAAAGCTCTGAGGTGTGGCCTCAGGCATGGATGTATCCAGGTGCTCAAAAATGATGCAAAGAATCAATGTCTTTGTTTCTGCTTTTTCTCTCTGTTGACTTCATTCTCAATCAGCTGCTCTTTTTTTTTATTGTTTTTGGTTTTAGTTTGAGGTGTTTTTTTTTTTTTGAGATATTGGAGCCTCAGGGCCTCTCACTTGCTAGGCAGGTGCTCTACCCCTTGAGCCACCCTCCCCGCGCGTTTGCTTTAGTTATTTTGTTGATGGGGTCCCACATTTTTTACCTGGACCAGCAACCTGGACAGCGATTCTCCCACCTATGCATCCTGTGTAACTGGGATCACAGACACCAGCCACTATGCCTGGCTTAATGAAGGAGATGGAGTCTCACTAACTTTTTGGCTGGGCTGACCTCAAACCTGGATCCTCCCCATCTCTGCCTTCTAAGTAGCTGGGATTTCAGACTTCAGCCACCTGCCTGGCTAGGGTCTAAATTTCTAAGGAACCCAAGAAAGTGGAACTGCCACCTAAGCGGAACTGCTTGTATCTCAGAAGGATCAGCTGAGCACTTGCCTTTATGTTTAAGTTTTAAAGCATTTCTCAGCAGCACAGCGTGGGCTTACACCGCTGGCTCTGTCTCCTTCTCTTCCACAGGAAGTCATAACCTCCTGGAACGCCAGGGCCCCAGCCTGGCAGACGAGGCTGGCAATGGTCCATTCTGTAGTTCTTTCTTCTTGGTTGGTGGGGTGGGCTGAGTTGTTTCTTAGCATGGTAGGAAGAGCTCAACAGCTGGGAGCAGTGCTTTTGACATCACATTACTGTCACTGTCACCGGGGCTGACAGCAGACTTGGGCTTGGACTCAAGAAGCAAGTGCTAATGTCAACACCCCCCGCCAACGCTATGTTCTGTCCTTGCAGGACTTGCCTTAGTTTGTGGATTTCCTTCATCTTCTGGCCGCTAGGATCCCTGACACTTAGGGAGCCGTTGCAGTCCTTCTGCTGCGTTTACCTTTGGTGTGCTGTTATGACAGCTAGCATTTATTATGTGCCGAGATCCATCAGTGTTACAAACACTCTGTGTGCATTGGCTCACTTAATCCTCACAGAGCCTTTGCCATGTGGAGCTGTCATGATGCACAGATCATATAAGAGGAGGCTGAGGCACAGAATCCATAAGTAACTGCTCAGTGCACCACTGGAAAGAAACAGAAAAGCCATTCCATCCAAGCCCAAGTTCTGGTGTTTTGGTTTTGGGGTATTTTTAGCAGTGCTGGGGATTAAACTCAGAGCCTCGTGCATGCTAGGCAAGTGCTAAACCACCTGAGCCATGTCCCCCAACCCCGAGCTCCTTCACCCTGTAAAATAGTGACACTTACAGTAGTAAGGCCATTGCACAGATATCCTAGCTGCAGCCCAGAGAAGGGGAATAGCCTGCCAAGGTCACACAGCTAGGTAGTGGAAGATTTCAACATAATGTAGACACAGAGGAGGTGCCATGATCTAACCTAGTATAGTGTCCTCCAAATATCCCATCAACTCAGTCACGTAGCCAAGACAAACTTCACTTGTCAGTGAGTCTGGCCTTACAACTAGTTTACTTCTCTTTCCTCTTTCTTAGTTTTCCTCTCTTCCTCCCTCCCTCCCTTCATCCTTCCTTTCTTCTTCCCCTCTTTTTTTAATCTTTTTTCTATGTTATAGTAATTTACTTACTTTTATAATTTTTCTCTTACCGCTTGTGACTTACATATGCATGAGTATGTGAATTAGTCATCCGTCATTTATTTTTCTGCTTGTTGGAGGGGAATCAGGTTTTCCAGATCTGAATGTCTCCCCAGCTGTGCACTGTCTGTGCACGCAGACGAATGACACATCTACTGTAAGAAACACTTCCTGGTATAGCTCTTTTCTTTCTGATAAGATCTGATTTACGTGACATGGTTAATTTTAAAATGATTGAGTTCTTTATAAGGTTGTAAATTAACAAAATTATACCTAGGAACCTCTTTCTCTCCTCTTCCATGTGTGCCTTGATCTGGAATTCTGTTTCAAGAAGGCTCGGGGATTTATAAACATCCCTCAAGCTTCTCTTATATGCAGTCAACCAACTAATATTGACTGAATGTCTAGGGCTCCAGGAAGTGGACAGGTTATTCAGCTATTGTCCCAGAAAGCAGAGGGTTTCTGCCTAGTCAGGGAGACCAGAAATATGCGTACAGAAATATGGCCAAGTGCCACGAGTTCAGAACCCAGCACTAGCCCAGAGCAAGCAAAGGAAGGTCAAATGAGGTCTAAATCCTGTCTCTACCATTGAGTAACTATATGACCTTGAGTTACTCAACCACTCAGGACTCAGGAGACAGCACTAGCACAAAGGTCCCTATCACGAAGGATTTTGAGGGGGACTAAAATAAGATGATAATAGGCATAAAGTAGTTAGAACAGGGTTGGCACACAGCAAGCACTTCATAAACATTAGCTAGGACTTTTATTTTTACATTCCTATGGTCTGGACATATCTGAAGAAATCTTTCATGGAACAGACAGATCTAGGTTGGATCCTGTCCGTACCATGTTTTGAAGTCTAATATGGTCTCAAGCACAGATTTGCCACATGGTAGGATCACAGCAGCTGACCCTGGGCAGTTGGGCTGGGCAGTGCTCAGCAGTGATATCGTGGTTCCATGAGTGTCCCCACCAATCAGCACCTTTAGGTGTAGCCACTCTTCCATTTTGGAGTCCCCACCTCTTCCAATCGACATCAACCAGAGAGAGAAGGGGAGAGGCAGAGGCAGAGAGAGACAGAGAGAAACTCTCTTCATGGCTCTTTTACCCAACCCAACGTGGAATGCACTGGCTTGGTGATTCCAGTTCCTGGGAGCCTGCTGCATCCCTAACTGAAATCCCATATTATTCAGGAAGTGTTGAGCACTTGGGGTGCTGTGTGCTGACTCTGAGCTGGAATCCTCTGCTTTGCTCTAACCTATCAAGCTTTGGTTGGATTGTGAGCAGAGCAGCTTAAGTGTTCTGGAAAATGTATGTGTCAGAGTCTTTGGACCCCCAAGTCAACTCTAGAATTTCCGTCTTCACGAGTTTTACCAGGAGAATCAACTGTGTCCCATGAGCCACAGTGGGAGGGAATGACATTCAGTAGCTCTGCCCCCTTGGTGAGTCTCCCAGAGGGTGTGCCCACCCCAGCTCCCTCATTTACTCACATCATCCACCCTGTGTGTGTGGACACCCATGGGCCTGGACCTCAGACCCTCCTGCTCCAAAGCGGGGCCGGTGACATGGTAGACACGATGAGAGCAGCGGTATTGAGGACCACCACATTCTGGGCTCTAGACGACATCTTCTTTGGTTCTCACACATGGCTCATCCCACACCCAGGACCACTGAGATTCCTGTAGGTCAAGGCCACAGTTCAGAGGGTGGGAAGTTCCCAGAGAAGGATTGTTCCAGCCCCCTGAAGAGCCATGCACATCAGCACCTGTGGCCGTTCCCAGGTGTGGACACATGTGTACAGCTCACACATGCTCACTCCTTCCTGTAACCAGGGTCTGTTCTGCAGCAAGTGAGGAAGCCAGGGGCCTGAGCCAGAGGCAGCAGAGAGGCCTCACACAGAGCAGCTTTCCAGACAGCAGCACAGGGTTGGCTCCTCCTTGCACCAGCTTCTTCCTACACACAAATGCTCACTTCTCTGTCTCCTTGCTCTGTTGCATGTGACTCTGGTTCCTTGTGGACTCATCGTTTCTACTTGGGACCCAGCTCCGCTGCGTTCTCCCTGGTCATCCTGCTCTTGGACTGCCCAGAAGAGCTTGATCTCCTCTGCAGGCTCGGGTGTCCCATTGGGCAGAACCAGCTGTGAGACCGCTGGACTCTGCAGGACTGGGTCGGGTCAAGTCAAGTGTTGGTCCTGGGCCCAGTCTGTGTGCAGGGTGACAGAATGACACAGAGGTGTGAGGGCAGCCTGTGTGTGCCAGGCACGCACATGACAAGACACACAGCAGGCAGTGGCCCGTGGCAGGCTGAGCGTCAAAGCAGCCAGCACATCTTCTGAGGAGCTGCAAAGTCTTTAGATAAAGACAAAGCTGAGACTGCACCTGGCTCTGCTGCTCCTTAGTCACGTGCAGAAGGGGAAATTATTTGATTTCCAAGGCTTGTTCTCTTCTGCAAAATGGCGCTAACAATAGGACCTTCCATGGTGTATGTAATTAAATGGGACAGGGTCTTCAGAGCACCCAGCACAGGGGCACAGGCACCAGGGCCACTGATACATCTATCTGCCGCTGCCATTGTCAGTAAGTAAGCTCACAGCTGAGCTCACACAGCCAGAGACTTCCTTGTTACTGAATAGCATGGTGGGTCCACACCTGTACCCTAAAAGAAATGTTCATTCATTTAAATCTGGTTCCACACATAGCGACTGGGTCATGGGGAAACTTACCCACGTCTCTAAGATGGCAGCAATATATCTAGTTCTTATAGGTACATATCTAGACTTAGCGGGAGGGAGGGAGAGTGGGAGGGGGTGAAAGAGAAAGAAAGAGGGAAAGAGAGAAGGAGGAGGAGGAAGAAGAGAAAAGGAAAAGGAGTGAAGGAGGGAAGAAGAGAGGGAGGAAGGAAGGGAGGATGGATGGATTGGAGAAGGATGGATTAGGGAAGGGAGGGAGGAAAGAAGGGAGAGAGGGAAGGAGAGAAGACAGGAAGGGAGGAAGGAAGGGAGGAAGGGAGGAAGGAGGGAAGGGAGGAGGAAAGGGAGGAAAGAAGGAAGGGAGGGAGGAAGGAAAGGAGAAGGGAAGGGAGGATGGAAGAGAGGAAGGAAGGGAGGGAGGAGGGAAGGGAGGAAGGAAGGAAGGGAGGAAGGAAGGAGGGAAGAGAGGAAAGAAGGAAGGGAGGAAGGAAGGAGGGAGGGAGGAAGGAAGAGAGGGAGGAAGGAAGGGAGGAAGAAAGGGAGGGAGGAGGGAAGAGAGAAAGGAAGGGAGGGAGGGAGGGAGGAGGGAAGAGAGGAAAGAAGAGAGGGAGGAAGGAAGGGAGGGAGGAAGGAAGGAGGGAAGAGAGGGAAGAGAGGAAAGAAGAGAGGGAGGAAGGAAGGGAGGGAGGGAGGAAGGAAGGAAGGGAGGAAGGGAGGAAGGAAGGAGGGAAGAGAGGGAAGAGAGGAAAGAAGGAAGGGAGGAAAGAAGAGAGGGAGGAAGGAAGGGAGGAAGGGAGGAAGGAAGGAAGGGAGGGAGGGAGGGAGGGAGGAAGGAAGCATGAACCCATGGGAAGCACACAACATGAGCCTGGCGCAGAGTTGGTGATGGTGACGTGGCTGTGATTGTTTTACTCTTTGCAGCCTAAGCGTGACACTTCGTGTCAGGACAAGAGTAAATAATGAACCTCGTTTCTCATAATTTGTGTCCATTGTTGAGAGCCGCAGAGAGATGGGTGTGTTTTCATCTCAACCCACTTCATCATATGAGGACTTAGGTTTAAGAACAATTATTTTTAAAAGAAGAAGAGCAAAAGAGAAGGAAGAAGCCTTACTTTCCCAAACTCAGACATGACACTGTGGTTCAGCACCATTCTGATTCTTTGGGAGCATCCAGAAGAGGGAAGACAAAGACACTTGCTTCCTGCACCCTAACAGCCACCCTTGCCCGTGTCAGCGTGGGGCTGACCACTCCCTATAGCTGCAGTGGCCACTGGCAGGTAGAGGGTGACAAATTTAGGGGGATAATGGAAATAATGACTGTCCCTCAAACTACTGATCACTTTGATGTCGTGAGAATGCAGACGCCCTCGCTGGTATCATGTCTTAGATCCTGAGATGTTTACAAACAATCTGACAGCCACTCAGTGCATTTCCATCTGGGGAATCAGCAACTAGTCTTTAGGAGAAAATAGAGACGTTGTTTCAAAGGCATATTAGCAAATGGCAAAACCAAAGAAATCTCACTTTTTGACAGCCTGATGGAGTGGTGGCTTTGTGGGATTTTCCTTTCTATCTTTGGCTTTTCCACAGAAGTTTCAGATGCCTGTTGGGGTATCTGAAACCAAGTAGGGATAAGAGTAGAGATCCAGAATACAAGCTGGAGTTCACAGGAGAGGCCACAGGTGGAGGTACAAACCTAGGAGTCAGAGGCATATGGATTAGTTGTCACATAACAGGAGTGAGTCCCTGATCCCCAGGAAGTGCAGTGTGATGGAGGAGACAGTTGTTACTGCACCATGATGGACTCTGGCAAAGGAAACTGCAGTGAGCCTCCTCTGGGGCGCACAGAGATGTAGCCAGCCATGCCCTGAAGGAGCTCAGAGTCTAAAAGAGGAGGCTCGTATCTAGAATACGAAGCCCGCTAACAAAGAGGGGCACAGGAAGTAACCGCTGGGACTGGGCGGGGGGGCAGTCATGGCAGAAGTGAATGAGGAAGGCTCATTCTTCAGGAGGCTCTTGATACAGACCATGAAGGGCAAGCAGAACCTAGACTTCAAGAGGTTAGGAATAGGGCATTGTACCAAAAGAAAGTACGTAGCCAAGTAAGACCAGTCTTGGGCTTGGCAAGGAGCAAAGGGAGAACAGGGTGGCCAGGGAGACCTTGAAGGACAAAGATGATTTGACAACAGTTTCCATAATGTGCAGTGAGAAAAGCATTTGACCAGCGTGAGACTTGGAGGAGAGGCTGGAAAAGAGGTGCTTACAATGTATCCACATGTAAGTGAATGTGAAAACGATAAAATAAAAGGAGAAAGAAAAAACAAACAAACAGAAGAGGTGCTTACAGCATCTCAAGGCTTTCACAGAAGAATCCTCCCTGGAACACGGTTTGCAGCAGAAAAAGCTGAGAAACCACAAAAACACTCATCAATGAGAAAATAATTAGATAAACTGATACGTCCATGTGGTGCGATGCTCTTTGGTAATTAAAAATGATGGTGCATAGCTGCATCCATCGCCAAGAAAGCATCACACAGCCTATTACTGAAATAGACAAGTCATGAAGCAGCGTTGACCGTGGAAGGCCATTTATTGATACGATAGCCTTAAGATCACGCGTGTCTGGGACATCTTTGAAATTAATGCTCACCAAAATGTGGATGACTTTCCTCCAGACAAGGGGATCTGGTGGGGTGGTGTTTGTGTTTGTTTGGGAAGGGGTGACTTCTCTTTTTGGCTCTTTTTTGGATAGCATGAATTTGCTGCTTATTTGTCTACTCTCTTGACCATAAGACAATGCAAAATTTCAAAGGGAAGTCAAGTGAACAGTTCTTGATTCTTGCAAGGCAGACAGGATCCCAGGTCTTAAATGTTGTCAGGTAGCCACTAGCAGTGGTTGTCATTTGCAAATCAGCCTTTGGTCTTTGAACCTCTCCTTGGGAATGGGTGAAGGAATTTTGGTCCAGCACAGAGGGGAGGGACGTCTGAGGGAACATGGTGGGATATTCGAGTAACTTTCTCCCCTCTTCCAGGGTCTTCCTGAGAGCTATCAACAAGTTCGCAGAAACCATGAACCAGAAGTTTCTGGAACACATGAACTTTGAGTTTCAGGTGAGTGCAAAGCTGCCCACGGCTGCTCTGGCTGACCATTCCAAAATACATCACCTGCAGCCTGTGGAAGCTTGTCTGTGTCTCTGTGCGTGCCCACAGCAGGGGTGGATGGGCTTTGCAACTGAGGTCTCGGTTGACTTGTCACCAACTGAGCCACCTGTGCAGCTTGACCCCATGATTCCTGACCTGGAGACTCACACCACTGACTCTCAACAGACGGCACCTCCTTCAGATGCAACACAGTGGAGGACACAGATGTTACTACACCACGATGGACTCTGGCACCCGTGCGCTCCCGGGAGCAGCCAGTCACAGATACTGAAATATGGTTTACAGTAAATATACATCATAAGAATATACCCAAGGCTTCCCGATTCCTGTGGGAGTCATTTTTACTGCTCAGCTAAGGCTCAGGGCCTCTGAGCCACTCATGGGCCCAAAGGAAGGAACCAGAATCAACCAGAGTGACACACCTGCTCCAGGTCCAGGCCCAAAATGAACCAACTCTTCAAAGCCTGGTGGCAAAAGCCAGGTGGCTGCCTGTGGCTAAGGTGTGAGAGAGAAGGACCCCAAAGTTAACCCTCTCTGGGGAACTCCCTAACCCCCAGATCTCTTCTAGTGGAAACATAAGGAGCAGAACCTACTGGATCCAGTGAACCAAGCCCATGGCCTTTTCTGCCGCCCATCCTAGTGCTCAGATCCTATCTGGAGTCTGACCTGTCACCATAAAGCAGCATCACACAAAGCCTGGATGTCACCGTGCCTCAGTCAAGCATCTATAAGCCACCAACACCTGCCCTCCTACTTCAGAGGGCACTGGACCTTGCCAAGGGGTTTGCTGGACAGGTTCAGGGGAAAGGTCTCACCAGCCTCCGTGCAAATGCTTCCTCCTCACGGAGGCCTCCCCTGCCTGGCTCCTCTCCACGCACCTGCTGACCCAATGGACGCAGGCATCCATCACCCACTGGCCTGCAGGAATGTCCTGTAGTATTACCTGTCCTGTGAGATCATCCTTATTAGTTTGTCACACGTGTGCTTTCTCTTTATTTCCTCTGATAAAATGTGAGCTTCGTGAGAGCAAAGACCTGGGGCTCACAGCCACCCTGTGCTCTGGCCCTGGCACACCGTAGGTCTCCCCACGGGGGGTGATGGCTGGATGAAGGCTGTAGCCTCCCCCTGTGAGGAGGGAACACTCAGTCATTGGACTGAAAGGATGGAAGTTATCTTTGAACAAAATTGACTTCAACTAATTCGCACTTAGGGAAACTGAGGCTGAATGCTCTGATAAAAAGAGCAACTGACAGCTGGGATTGCAGGATTTCAGTTCAAGGCCGGCCCAGGCTAAAAAAAAAAAAACCAGTGAGGCCCCCTCTCAAACAATAGCTGGGTGGGTGGCTCATGCCTGTCACCCCAGCTACATTGAAGGCTGAGATTGGGGACAGTTCTAGGCCAGGCAGGGCTAAAAAAGGTTGCAAGACCCATCTCAATGGGAAAAGCTAGGTGTGGTGGCTCATGCCTTTCATCCCAGTGATGGTGGTAAGCACACATAGGATCATGGACTCTCTCTCCAAAATAATCAGAGACAAAATGGCTGGAGGAGTGGCTCAAGAGCCACGGCCCCTCATGGAGCCTCTGCTCTTAGGACACAGGAGTGAGACTCAGAGGTGGTGAGAACTGGTCCTGATGTCAGATGGCACATGGGTACGGAGAGACTAGAATGCAGTCGTGGCTGAGGCCAGCACCCACACAGAGCCACGGCCACCTGCTAGGTACGGGTGTCCCTGCTGCCTTGGGCTGGCAGCTGGCAGGGTCTGGGGACAGTTTCTCCCTACACAACGCATCTTCGGCAGGGGAACAGAATGTGCCTCTTTGGCGATTTCAAATCAAGAGAAACGTGTGATCCCCTTCAAATGCCGCCTGGTTCCTGCAGGCGCAGGGATGGGTGAGCTCACATAAGCCACCGAGGCCACTGTTGTTCTGGAGGGACGGCTTGGGACCTTGAGAGTGGGCTTGGAGGCTCTAGCAGGGGAGCGCAGCTACTCGTGTACTCTTGACCGAAGAGCGGTCCTCCTGTATCGGGGTGGTCGTCCTCTTCCATGAGCACGCAGCTTCAGGAGGGGCACACATGGAGCAGTGAGGGAGGAAGGGGACACCCGCCTAGCCAGCCAGACCAGCTGAATCAACCCTGGCGATCAATGGGGTGACAGATGTCACAGCCAGATCACCTTCACATCCTCAGAGCGACGGCTTGGAACAGGGTACCAAGGGGCCAGCGGAGTCAATGTTTGGGCCATGGAAAGGCAAACTGGTTTGTCCATTCTTTCCATGGGCATCAGCAGATCCTCGGACCTGTCCTCCTGGCCACAGCTCCTCCATGGCCTTACAGGTACCTTCCAAGGGAATCTCAGCCTTCCCCCATCATGCCTTCTCCTGAACGAAAATCTGAATCTGAGAGATGGCAAAGAATGGGGAATCATACATAGAAAACTCAAGCGTCTGAGCTGTGTGACTTTAGGCAAATTCTACCTCTCTGAGCTCCAACTTCTTCAACGTTAAGTGAAGATGCTAATGGGAGGTCTGGTTGTGAGGATTCGGTGAACGAGTTCACACAGAGCTCTTAGAACGGGGCTGGGGACGATAGCAGGCACCTTTGAATGTTAACCCATTATAATATTAGTAATAATAACTTTCATTTTGATGATCCTGGCTGCGAGGGTGACTCGTGTCACTGCCTGATAAACAGGACGGCAGCATCTTTCCGACAGGGCCATCACAGGGTTCTGTAAAATGGAGAAGTGGCCAGCCACACAAAACGAAGTCAGTCTCTTCTAATGAGACTTTCCCAGACGTTTAGTGAGACGCACCGGGGACGAGGCCATTTTTCAGTTCTTATCTCTGTTCCCCGACCGCCTCCCCATGTGAGGATGGATTTGCTCTCTGTCCCCTGCCTGGAACACGCCTTGTCTCCTTCTTCTGCTTCATTAATTATGCATTTAACATCAGCCGGGGCAGCATCTGTCACCGTCACCGGGGGCTGGCAGCGGCTGTCGGAGGAGGGGCAGGGCAGTGACGTGAGTCCTAATGTCCCTTCTGAGGCTGTGGCTTTGTGGATCACAGGGTAGAGAGCCAGAAGCACCCACTCTGTGGGTGGCAGAGACGGTTTTCTGCTTGGTGCTGAAGTCACTGCCATCCCCAGGGCCTGTTCTGGATGCTGGGCTTTGGTGCTCACATCCGGGAGAGGACTTCGGAGTCACCTCGGCAGAGCCCAGGAGTTCCAGGGCAAAGTAGAACACTCCTCCTGGGGCTTGAACCCCTGCCCTCTGAGTTCATGTGCTGGAAGTTTAGTCCCCAGTGCAGCCGTGATGAGGGAGGTCATTACGAGGTGATTAAGTCACCAGGGCTCTGCAGCCAGAAGGTCTCACCAGATGGGAGACTCCTGATGTTGCCAGACTCCAGATGTAAGGAACACATTTCTGTTCTTCATAACTTACCCAGTTTCAGGCGTTCTGTTACAGCAGCAGAAGAGGGGCAAAGACAATGGCTCTGCTCTCAAGGATCTTGGAGTCTTGACAGAACACTACGTAAATCCGTCTTCTGGCATCCCAGCTTTTGAAGGTGGCAGTGAGCCCTCAGTGGGCATTTACTGAGGACATTTGGGTCCTCGTCATGCTCATGTTAGATTGGGATATGCCCATTTCACTGTGAGTAAACTGAGCTCCAGAAAAGCGGCTGACTTTCTGCTAAAGTCACCTGAGCCTAAGGGGGGGCCTCTGGGGTTCAGCGTCGGGCTTGTGTGCAGAGCTCACAGCCCTTCTGTGCTTGGAGTCTGGGCTCTGGGGAGACGGCTGTGTCACAGGCTGGTCATCAGGTCAGTCTCCCACTCGGCTCTGGTGGGATCCGCCCTGCTTAGGTCTCCAGGCATTTTGAGAAAAGCTTCTGGACACCAACCCAACTTGACCTCCTTTTCCAACCTGCACTGGAGAGTTGTGGGACAGCTTGAAAATGCAACCAGTGATGGCAAATTACATTTTAAAAGATGAGGGAGAGATACCCGGAAGGAGTGGCAGTCACCTGAGCCTTGACAAAGCCCAGTGCAACCCCAGAGGCCACAGGTCACGATGGAGCCTCACGGGGCCCCAGACAACCTCAGGTCTGATTTTCCTGAGTCCACCCCGGGTTCAACAGCGATCCCAGATGTCTTGGCCTCACAGAGGGGAACAGGCTGATTGCAGTTCAGTGACACGTGTGCCAGGGTCTTTTTTAAAATTTTAATCGTGATTTGGGGCAAACAATAATTCAAATCATTGACAGGGAACTGTACAGGATCAAAAATCCTCCATCTCTCTGATGTAAAGACTGTAAAACATTGGATTAACCAGCGGACACCTTACCCAACAACCAAAGCTAAGGGAAATGAAGAAGAAGAGGGGTGTTAGCAGAAGAGCAGGGTTTCAAGAATGCAAGTCCTATTAGCCTCCCTGAAGGCCTGGATCCGTGCAGCTACTGAAAGAAAGCAAGGGAATAATTTCTACCACTGGACAAGGCATTTGGGACAAGACCCCCCCCAAAAGCACAGGCAGTAAAAGCAAAAATAGACAAATGGAAGTATGTCAACCCAAGAAGCTTCTGCACAGCAAAGGAAGGAATAACCAGAGTGCAGAGACAACCTTCAAACCGAGAGTCATGCAGCAAACCACACTCCAGACAAGGGGTTAACGTCCAGAATACATGTGGAGCTCAAACAACCCAATTAACCCCCCTAAAAAAAGTAATCCAAATTACAAATGGGCAAAAGACTTGACTAGACATTTCTCAAAGAAGAAATACAAATGGTATATGAAAAAATGGTCTATATTACTTAGGATCAAAGAAATGCAAATCAAAATTACTACAAGGTATCTCTTCCCTCCTGTTAGAATGGCTAAAAGACAAAAGATGAGTGTTTGTGAGGGTTTGTGGGATTCCCATTGGTGGTGGGAATGTAAATGGTATGGTGATTAAGGAAAATAGTATGAGGTTCTTCAAAAAATTAAAGCTAGAACAACCATAGGATCCAGCAATTCTACAACTGGTCCACAGACTCAAAGAAAACCAGTAAGCCAAGAAATATCTGTACTCCCAATAGCCATGGTGTGGAACCAGTTTAAGTGTCCATCAGCAGAGGAAAGCATAAAGAAAACGTAACACACAACCACACACGCACACACACAGAGACACGGGAATACCATGCAGCCATAAAAAAGATAAAATCCTGTCTTTTTCAATAACATGGATAGATCTGGAAGACATTATGTAAAGTGAAATAAGTCAGATGCAGAAAGACAAATACTGTGTGACTTCCTTTACACGTGGAGGCAGACGCGGCTGGGGGGAGAGGGTGATGGGGACAGGTGGTCAGTGGCTACAAAGTGACAGTCACACAGGAGGCATTCTGGTGTCCTGTTCCACAGCAGGAAGACTGTAGTGTGGTGCTGGCTGCTCAGGAGGTGACATGGCAGGACCTCTGTTCGGCCCCCTTGGCGCTGGAGTCTTGCCTCCAAAATAAAGAAAACCCGCTGTGTCTGCTGTGATGGACATGATGGACCTACTTTAGTTGGGATGTGTGGGGAACCTGCCTTTCCCAGGAAGTAACATTGGCGCTAACACCGCAAGACCGAGTAGGAGTTCACGAGGCGGGGTGTGCTCCTCTAGTCCTGGTAACCTCACCCTCTAGGTACTGTTACCCTCGTTCTCCCGATGAAGAACCAGAAGTGGGGTCACACGCCTACAGCAATGTAGCTAGCGACTGGGTTGGAACCCCGGAATGCATTCTGGCGTGACAGCATCTGTGAAAACAAACCACGATGACAACGGTGAGCCACAAAACCTGCTCAGACCCTGTGACTTCCCAATTCCAACTCCAGGGATGTGTGTGACAAATACAGTTTCTCATAAAGATGTTCGAACGAGGACATTGATGACTGCACTCTCGCTACAGGAGGACAGGAAACTGGTTAAAATTAAAGCAGTCTTTATACCAGAGGACCATGCAGCAGGAAAGGCGAACAAAGCGGATGTATTTGTGCTAATAGGAAACATTTGCAAGGTAGACTGGGAGGAGAAGAAAGAGGCGTACGGTGGCCTGTTTTAAGAGGTATCCACGCATCTGTGTACTAATGCGTAAAGATTTTTGAAAGACTCAGAAAAAACTCAAAAATTTTCTCCTTGGGAATTAGGCTGGGGTTCAAGACAGGATGAAAAACTAACTTTTTATCCTTGAATCTTTCCTGTCACTCAATGTTTTAAGCCATTTGTATATGACCGATACCTTTTGAGTTAATTAAAAATAACTAAATTCTCATTATGCCCACTAGCAATGTGACCTTGGGTAGTCATTTAACCGTGTGGTCCTTAGTGTTTATGGCTGGCTGGGAGTTGTGGTCTATGGTGAAGTGGGGCCTTTGGCTTGCTGCTCTCTGAAACTGGACCACAGCCCACGGAAGGCAATGCTCTGGACAGCAGTGATGATGACCTGAGCCGTGGAAGAGCTGTCTTGTTCCTACTCTTGGCCATCTGGCCCGTGATGGACTTGTTTGAGTTAAAGATGAAAGGCTCTGCCCAGTGCAGCTCACACCTATAATCCTAGCTACTTAGGAGACTTGAGATCAGGAGGCTTGCAGTTCAAGGCCAGCCTGGAGAAATAGTTCAGCAGACCCTGTCTTCAAAATGACCAGAGCAAAATGGACTAGAGGCATGGACCAAGTGGTAGAGCGCCTCCCTTGTAAGTGCAAATCCCCGAGTTTAAACCCCAGGCCTACCAAAAAAATAAAAATAGAAAGTCTCTCTGGCAAGGTGACCTCTCTAGCAGCTGCTTCCTGTCCTCTTGCTATACAGGGCTGAAAGGGGCCTGAAAACGGGTCAGCGTTGTTCAGCAAGCTAGCCTCACCTGCTCCTTGCAGGACCTTGGCATCTTGCAATACTGGCCCTTAGGACCCAAATAGCTCCATTCTGTATTGGTTCTGGTACCAAAGAAACTGCAGGAATAACGTGAAGAGCAGCAATGGCTAATGAGTGCTTTGAGCTCCCTGTGATTCACGTCCTGAAAACACGCCATCTCCTGCCGTCCTTACTGCAGAGGCCTGCAGTGAGCCTGTCACCCCGATTTTGTGGACAGACCCACTGAGGCACCATAGCACCTGGATTTGGATCTGCATCTCTGGTCCGTGACTCATCTGTTTGAGCACTGGGCCTGTGCTGGGTCCTTCATCAGCTCTATCTCCCCACGACCGGGGAGTGGGTTCCACCGGTGGTTCCTCACATCCATCCCCAAGTACATATGAAATGGTGGCAAGCGGACACATCACCTCCTGTCACCTGGGCTGGTGGGGGGTCTAACCAATAGGAGCTGCGGGATACCCGAGTTCTTGTGAACACAGATTTCTAGCACCCCACCCACCTCCCAGGGGGTGAATCAGGTCGGGGCGGTGGGGGGACCTGAGAGTTTGCATTTCTAACAAGTTCTAGTGATGTTGCTGCAGGTGTGGCAGCCCTACTTTGAAACTCCTGAACGAAGGAGAAAGAAAAGGCACAGTATGTCAGGGCAGGACGGATTGCAGGCTGGTCCTCTGAGCTGTCGGGTGAGTTAGGGAGGACTTCCAGAGAGGCTGCGAGTCTAGAACTGCCCTTATCCTCCCTCAACCTCTAATTTTAGGGCAGGAGCCAGCTCACCAGAGCTCCCAGTTGGGGTGAGTGATTTGCCTTTCAAAAGACAAAACACAACAACAACAAAAAAAGCACAACAGTAAGGGCAAAGAGCCAGCCCCACAAACCTCTTCCTCATCCACATCCTCATGTCAGACAGAGGACGTGGACAGTGCCTGGAGAAATCCATCCGCTGCCCTGGCTTTGGCCAAGGTGTTCATTCCAGAGCCAGTGCCGGTCAGGAAATTGCAGAGCATACAATTAAACTGATTCTGCCTCCATCCTCTGCCATCTTCATAAATTATTCACATTCCCCAGCATTTACTATGCCTTTACACTTCAGCCCCTCTCCATGACTGCTCTCTCCATTTCATTTGCAGCTATGGAACAACTATTTTCACCTGGCAGTGGCTTTTATCACCCAGGACTCGCTACAGCTGGAGCAATTCTCGCACGCCAAGTACAACAAAATCCTGAACAAGTAGGTTGAACTGCTGGATCTCCTTAAAAGGGAGGGGTTTCATGAGGTGCTTTGCAGTGAGGCTTGAACCCCACATTTTTGCTTCTCCTAGGTACGGGGACATGAGACGGCTGATTGGCTTCTCTATCCGGGATATGTGGTACAAGCTTGGTGAGTAGCCATTGTGTCCAAAAAGATGCAGCTGTATATACCAACTGCTTCCTGAAGACCATTGGTAAAAGGACAATCGGTTTCAGCAGCAGGAGATTGAAAATGCAGGGTAGCACCATGGGCACCTCAGTCCTTGGTTAGTGTCCCTTCACCCTCCAAGCAGAGGTGAATTTGCATCTGTGTGTTGCGAGAAGCAGGGACACTGTGGAAACTCACATCCTTATGCATTATAGGATTGCTTGCGATTGGTGAACCATCCTGCATCCTACTTCTTACCTGATGTGGTCCACAAAACACCTTCAACCTCATGGGGTTGCAACCTCATTGCTCTCTGGAAGATGACAGGGTCTTTTTAGCTGAAAGGTGACCCTAGAAGCTACCTCTGCCTCTGTGAACTACAGGAATCATATGTGGTTACCCAGGTGACACCTATAAAGGGAGGGATTGAAACAGGAAGATGTACTGACAGTCTAAGACAGGCTTGTGCTAAGGAGATCTTATTTAATCTTCACATCACCTCCTGTAAGATGGAAACTCTCCCCACTCCTTTTACTGACCAGGAAATTCAGAGAGGGAAATAACTTGCTGAGATAAGCAGCCAGAAGTCCTAGAGCTTGGTTTTCCTTCCTCAAGACAGGTGCAATCAGCCTTGTCTGTAGCCTAAATCCTGCTCCATAAATCTGTAGGGGATAAATAGATGGATGATTGGGTAGATGAATGGATAGATGGATAGATAGATGAGTGGGTAGATGAATGAATAGGTAGGTGGACGGGTAGATGGATGAATGAATGGATAGATGAATAGGTGGATAGGTAGATGAATGGGCGGGTGGATGGGTGGTGAATAGGTGGATAGATAGATGGATGGGTAGATGGATGGTGGGTAGATGGATGGGTGGATGGGTTAATGGATGGGTGAATGGGTGGACGGGTGGGTGGGTGGGTGGATGGATGGATAGATGGTGGGTAGATGGATGGGTGGATGGGTTAATGGATGGGTGGATGGGTGGACGGGTGGGTGGATGGATGGATAGATGGTGGGTAGATGGATGGTGGGTAGACGGATGGGTGGATGGGTTAATGGATGGGTGGATGGGTGGGTGGATGGGTGAATGGGTGGACGGGTGGGTGGGTGGGTGGATGGATGGATAGATGGTGGGTAGATGGATGGGTGGATGGATGGTTAGGTGGATGATGGATAGATAGATGGGTGGAAAGATACATGGATGGGTGAATGGGTGGGTGAGATAGATGGATGGGTGGGAAGATGGAAGGATGTGTGGAGGAGTGGGTAAATGGATGGATTAGTGAACAGCAAGAAGAATGAGGGTTTCCACCTCTGACTTTTGGGCTTCTTCCTTCCCTCTCTAGTGCCCAGTTGCTCTGCTTTGGGATTAGCTGTTGACCCTCTTCAGTGGAGGTATTTGTAGGGGCTGTGCCATCTCTTGGATTTAACCTTCATTACCACCTAGACACCACCTAGACTTTGCTTCCTGCCTCCCTCTCCATGTCTGCCGATCTCTGAATGGTTTTCTCGCGAGCGCTTGCTAGCCCTTTCCAGCAAGGTCCATCCATTGTGAGAGGAGCACAGCACAGTGGGTAGATTATTAGTCTGTGTCCTGTACTTGCTGGCAACATCAAACTCCAACTAAGAGTGTGCGCTGGACTACAGAGAGGTTGTGAGTTGGCTCATAAAGCCCACAGCAGAGCTGAGGACCCAGGTCCAGAACAGATTGCTGTGTCTCCTCTGCCTGGGCCTTGCTCTGTCATTTCCAAGCTATGAACCCTTAAACAAGGGGATCTAGCATCCCTGGTCAAGCAGAGGAAGCAACACCTTCTCTTGAGATACTTACGAGAATCATAGCACAATAACTGAGGCAAGGGAAGCACAGGGGCCACCATGCCCCTGGCCAAATCAAAACAGAACCTAACTGCCGTTCTGGCTGCTTCCTCATCAAAGCTGGGTGGGGCTCGGGTCCCTGAGGCCTGCAGGGTGTGGTCTCAGCAGGCATGTGAAAGAGTGAGGCAGATGCTGTCAACATTTGGGGTAGGGTAATTTGTGGCTGTCCTGGATGCTGTAGGGTGTTGAGCCATCTCCCCACCTGCCCCGGCCTCTACGCTCTAAGATCCCATTAGCGCTCTCCCTAGCTACGACAATCGAAAAGAGTTTCCAGACAATCTCAAATGACCCTGGGAAGGGAGCTACCCTTATTTATTTATTAGAAGAGCATCTTACTCTAACTTTCATTTTTCTACTTTGGATAAGGACAGAAAATAACAAACAATTTCCATTTCATGTACTATTGTTTGGCAATAAGGATGCAAAAGCATATTGTAAGTACAGACATTCATGGGAGGAGAAGGGGGCCTGGGCCAAAGTGAAACAGACATGCTCCAGCCCAAAGCCATAGTGGCTGTCCCTGTCCCGCTGATTGCTGTCCTGCTGGAAGGCAAGCACTGTCACATCTTTGGTCTTTCAGAAGACCAAAATGGCCAGGAAACTGGTCATTTAATGCATTTTCCAGTTTGTGAATATTAATGATAACAAATTGAAAGATTTCAAAACATTGCAGTGACCAGTGGAAGAACAGGACCCAGATTCAATTCAAGATCCGATTTGCCTTAACACTCGCAGAGGCTGCTGAAGCTGTGCTGGGCCTCTTTTCCAACTCCACCCCGGCTTTGACAGAACTGCAGAACAGGGAACTGAGCTTTGATTCAAGCGGTTCCACAGCCAGCTCTTTTCTGAATGCACTTCATCGAATTAGTTCGCACACAGGTTTTATTTAGGTATAGATTAAGTTTTGGCAGGCGTTCCTACATTGCCAATTATGCTGATGAATGAAAAGTTGTTACCAAATGCTGCACCTGCTTAGGATCACAGCACATCAGAGCTGGGAGGGACCCTGGAGATCACATTGTTCAGCATTTTTTAAACATTTATTTTTAGCTAAGGGCCAATAAAAAAATTCATGCTCCTTAAGTAAATCAGATGACACTAAGCCATTCTAATTGCGCTGAGCTAGAGGGCCTGTTACAATGACAGCTCTCACCTCTCCACGTGGACTCCTGATGGGTTGTGCAGTGGGGGGAGAGCAGGTCCTGGAGCTCTGCAGAGACTAGCTGGAAGCTACTGGTCTGGTCCAACCCATCATTTTACCAATGAGGAAACCCTGGGCCAGGGAGGAAAAAGAGTTTGCACAAGGTCAGTGTTGCGGGAGATCAGGCCCCAGGCCCAGGCTCCTGGGTTTCATAGGTCAGGTCCAGCCATTCACCCCAACAAGCCAAATACAGAGAAGAGTAACAGTGAAGGGCAGAGAAAGGAGGTTTATTATGTGACATGGGCTAGCGGAAGGGGGGAAGAAGAGAGGTAGCATTTCAACACTCCTGTCCCATATGGACACCCGCTTTAGGTTTAAACAGGAGGAGGAATTGGGGGTCAGAGGAGAGGTGTGTGTGGTTATTAAACAGTCCCAGTCACACCTGTGTTCCAGTAGGTGCCAGCCACAGTGGGCTGGTAGTTTAAGATTATAACAAGGGTGAGGAATTGTTACAGTAGGGGTCATTGCTGCCTCTCAAGTGGTCTTTGTCTCTTGTTCAGTCCTTTCCTGATGGCTGCAGATTGACTGCAGGAGAGAATGGCTCAGAGCAAAGGATACAGATACAAAATGGAGGCTGGGCTGCCAACCTTTTATTCCTGGGCCCAAGTAAGGAGTCAGAGCTCCTCAGCAAAAGCAGCATTGAAGTGCTTGTAAAGTCAGTAGTGGGTGGGAGGTTTTGCCCAAGCAGAGAAGCATGCTGACCAGAGTCCTTGTTCTGACACAGCACAGACACCTTGCTGCTCACACATACCTGCAAGACGCAATTAAAAAGTGTTTCTGTCAAGGTTTGGGGGCTGCAGGAAAGAGGCATGAGTTGGGGCTGCCCTCATCAGGGAAGGTGCTCACTGGAAAGACAGGGACCAGAACCATTCTAGGAGCTCGAGAGGCTGGCCTCCAGCTCTGTCTTCAGGATGCCCTCTTCCTGCACCACTCTGCTGAAGATCCAGCCTCCACAGGACCCCAGTCCATTGGTCCTCCTTGGGTGGCCTCTCAATATTCCCATGGAGCCTACATTTATGGAGAGTGACAGTTTCTCAGGATAACACTACTGGGAAGAGGAGTTTGGAAGACTCCAAACCAAAACTGTCCACTGAAGAAACAAGAACCGAAGGACACTCTGCACCAAGGACCACTCCCTCACTTCTTGGCCAGACTTCTGAGGAGGAAGAAGGCATATCAGCCTGATGTGGTGTCTGTCTAGCTTCAGCAGCTTCCACTCATTAGTGACATGGCTGCCTTCCTTCTCCTTCCTGTCTCTGTCAGGAATAAGAGAACGGAAAGCTGAGGCGGAGAGGCTGGGTGGTCCCCTCGTTGCAATACCGCCCTCTATGGGATGCTGGCATTAGTGCACTAATGAGGTTAGCGTAATAATCCACACTGGGACTTCGCACTGCATGCATTAGGGACCAATGTAGTGAGACCATTGTACTGGGTAATGACAGGCTTTGAAGAGCAGCTCATGGACTATCCAAGTGAGGGTGAAACTTGGAAGCTATCTGGGGCAGCCTTTGCTGGTCACCCATGCAATAGCTATTGTCCTCTTCTTCCTGCCTAACTGGACCCCGATTATTTTTTTCAAGATTGCAATTTGGTCAGTTAACAATGCCTTGTTGTAAATGGTGGTCCCATGACTCAGATCTGTCCTGTGAGAATTAGCAGAAACACACTTGCTGGGGATTCAGCAAAGGAATTTTTTCTCTAATTAAAAAATAGAAAGGCCAGGCAATGCTGGCACATGCCTAGAATCTCAGCAACTTGGGAGGCAGTTATAGGAGGATTGTCATTCAAGCCCAGCCCAGGCCCAAAAGCAAGAGTACATGTGAAAAACAAATTAAAATGCAAAAGGACTGGAGCCTAGCTCAGGTGACGGAGTGCTTGCCTAGCAAGCATGAAGCCCTG